CGATGATTTATGACATACAATTGTTTCTTAGATAACTTTGTAACATTTTTCATGATATAGTTATTGGACAAGCTATGTTTTTTTATTGAAATACAACAACGCTCACATGTGTCAACTGCTTGACAAATATGACTATCACAGGGTTGTCATCTGAAAAACTGGAAAAAGTCAGGAAAATTGAAATTGATCATAGAAAACCGGGAAAAGTCAAGAAAAAAATGTAAAAAAATCTGGAATTTTGAAATTTGCTCACAATTTCCTTAAACTACTCCTATTTCAGATAATTGTTATAATTTTTTAATATTATATCTGACATTTATAGTGAAATACATTCAAAATTTGCACACTTTAAACGATTTTAATAAAATAATTAAAATTTATATTTTATTCAATATTTTTATTTGATCGCCCTTTTTCGTAATTGCATTTTTTTTCAACTATACTAATTTATTTTTTGTTGACTTAAATTTGCATCCAAAATTTTAGTATGCTATTAACTTTTTTTGCGTTGTTTTTAATAATAATAATAATATAGGCTAGCTTTCTTACAATTTTTGACTTTAAATGTATTAAAATTTACATATTTTATATTGGAAAATTTTCCATTTTCATCTAGAAAACCTGGAAAAATCGAGGAATTTTAAAATTCATTTTCTGTGGCAACATTCTGCTAATCAGATATTCTTATTTTAACATTGTGCACATGAACTTTCTTTTTCTTCCGCTTTCTTGCTTGCGATTTATTATAAAAATTCTTAGAGAGATAATAGCAAAAACATGATATCGCACCTTTTTTTTATTACTATTCCTATTTTTATTATTATTCCGTCCATCTACTACTTATAGCGAATTCGATTGGACACACTCAGTGCTCACTGGTACACATTAAACCGTTATATACAAAATAACATGAAAATTTGTTTATAAATAAACATAGAAATCGATTAAATACTCAATACATTTTATTGTACTATTAGGTAAAATATGTATTTCATAATTTGAAATATTTGCATTTCATTTTTATACTCAAATTAAGTCAGTGTATAACGGCTTTATGCATCAGTGCGCACTAGTGTTTCCAATTCGCCATTATATATCTAATGGTTCAATGTATCTGAAAAAAGGAAAGCATTAAATAGAGAAGCATTTCTTAAACTATTTTTATTTGGATCCTGCATAGCATTCTTACAATGAATACTCACTTCACACAATCTCAGATTATCTAGGTATCTTGATGCATTCTCATTCAAAGCAGCATCTACCCATGCTTTTAAATATTAGTCTTTCTTGGGAAATCTGATCAATGTGTAACCTTCACTGGATGTATTAAAACATCTCGATACACAAATAAATGTCATCGCAAAGATATATAAAAATCAACGACAAGAGAATTATTAATGAAACATTATTAATGAAACATAAACATATATCTCTAACTTCCGTACTACTTATTTTTAATTATGAAGCATTTATTCAAAGCCTATTCGTGATAATATATACAATGCTTTTTCTCATAATTTTAGATGTGATAAATTAACTTACCGAAAATAGTCAAACCAATAGAGCAACACAAGTTGTTCTAACATGTAACACACACGTATTCAGAATAAATTGAGGTTATGGTACATCTGCATGGAACACAGATGTGCGATCCATACTCTAGCCAATCAGAATCACCTAGTCACGTGACAAGTTAGCGAGTCTTTTTAGGGTCTCTACGTTCGGTGATAGAGCACTGTGCAAACACAAGCATATATCATGGCACACGTCACTCGGACACATTCGATTTTTTTTGTTTCCAAAGTGATACGTGTCAATGAAATACGTTCGGATCGCCAATACATGTGCAGCACATACCGAGTAAATTCTGTAGTGCAAAGTTCGATTTATTCAAAATGCATTGTGCAGTTAAAGGATGCGGAAATTACCATCATAAGACATAAAATGAGTAAGACGGAAAATTTTTTGAATGCTTTCTCGGCCGCTCGGCGGTCCTAGGCATCAATAAGGGGCGTGTGACATTCTAAATAACATATAAGTTTTAATAAATTGTAGTAATAGTTGCACTGCTCCCATTAATCCAGAATTGTATAAATCATGTTAAAACGCAACAGTTTACGAGATATTTAATTGTTTATGATTTTTCATGCGCGTTATATAGTATACCTCTCCTTCATAAACTCGAGTAGCAAGAATAGTTCAGTAGAAATAGAATAGTTCAGTAGAAGTAGAATTTTATCAGAAAAAAATTATAAATCAGCATTTTTCTTTACGAAAGGCAATCAGAAAAGAAATGCGTATATTTGAGACTCGAGACTTGTGAAGAAAATATGCGAAAAAAAATCGAATAGTTACAAAAAGCAACGTTTTTCGCTTATAAAACGAAAGATATTGATTGTATGGAAAAAAATTCAGTATAAAAAATGTAGGTATTCGAAAAACCTATAAAATAAGACATGGAATATTAAAATTGATCTATTAGTTCAGTAGAAAAAAAATTAAAAAACGCCGAAAAACATTTTTTTTCAATCGCTCTGTGTTCATTGAAATTTAAACGCAAAGCTTTGAAATTCTCGTAAAATATAGCCTCGTAATGAAGAACAAATCTAATCCTGAACAAGCCTGAAATGTTCATTAATTTTTGCAAAAAGCCATTTGTTCACTAAAAACCTGTCTGCGGAAAACTTAATTTCTTCATCTTTGAGCACTCACACAGCAATTTACAAGGATTTTGCTTCTTCAAGAGTTGCACTATCACATGCACTGAATAATTAAACGATTTTTTGCAGTTAAACTATTATAAAATGACTTTAAAAAGTGAGTATCGTTTTTCGTATAAAACGTATGATTTTTTGGCAATACACCGAAAAAATAAAAATTCAAGAAACAAAGAGCTAAAAATTTCATAGTTACAATTACTTTGCGAACATTTGGTTAAGCTATTTGTTTATATCTCGTCGAGCTATCTGAGGTTAAAAAAAAATCATGTTTCCACATTAATTTATTGCTGAAAAAATATAAATTTAGCAAATTTTAACGCACGAAATCAGATATATAATTTATCTATAATTATATAATTCGTCATTACGAGGGCTACATTTTATGAGAATTTCAAAGCTTTGCGTTTAAATCTCAATGAACAGAGAGCGAGTGAAAAAAGGCCTTTTTTGGTCTTTATTTTTTCTCTACTGAACTAATAGATCGATTTTAATGTTCTACGTCTCATTTTGTAAGTATTTATACCTACATTTTTTATACCGAATTTTTTTCTATATAATCAATATCTTTCGTTTTATAAGTGAAAAACGTGCTTTTTGTAACTATTCGATTTTTTTTCGCATATTTTCTTCACAAATCTCGAGTCTTAAACATACGCATTTCTTTTTTGATGGCCTTTCGTAAAGAGAAACGCTCGTTTATAATTTTTTTCTGATAAAATTCTATTTCTACTGAACTATTCTTGCTACTCGAGTTTATGAAGAAAGACTATACTATATAACGCGTATGAAAAATCGTAAAGAATTAAATATCTCGTAAACTGTTGCTTTTTAACATGATTTATACTATTCTGGATTACTGGGAAGGATACACTATTACTACAATTTATTAAAACTTATATATGTTATTTAGAATGCCTCCCTTCTTATTGATGTCCAGGACTGCCGAGTCGCCGAAATTGTCGAGAAAGCATTTCGATTGCTTGAAACAAGTGATTAGTGTGAGAAGGAGTTCGCTGTCTCGTTCACTCTCGGCGCGCCGCAGGCGAGCATACGAACATAGGCTCGTGCTTGTTTTTTGTTACAACGCCGCAACATGATAAATGGCCGAACTTATAGGCGTGGAAAAGTGACGTTTTGACGACGAAATTTATGTTGCGTGCCATTTTGTTATTATTTGCCTAATTGTGAAAATGTGACTTGTCTTGTACTTATCAAAGTCGTAATTATCGATGAAAACTAAAGTTATCTTGTAATTTTATATGTAAAGCGTATATTTTACTCGTTTCAATAGCTCTCGGACCGTGTGTTTCTGCCCGAATATAGGATCATTTTACGTGTCTTTTACCACCATTTACTGACTGTCAAGAGTGGAAAGGACAGTTTTTTTGATTTTTACAAATGTTTTAAAGTGATTTCATCATTTCGTTTTATCCAAATTGTTTTTATTTAAAAATGACATACAATAAATTAATGTGTCATTCCTCGCTTCTGATGTCACAATTCCAATATGGCCACTGCGACTAGTCAGGAGCCTTAACGATGACGTTCGCTTGTGAACAATTTCTTATTGGCTCTAGGAGCCATGCGCACAAGCATATACCCTTTATATTATGATTCTTATCAAAACCTCTCTTTTATAGCAATGGTACGATTTTTCATATCATTCAGTCTTAAAAACTTCAGTCTTTATATATTTTATTTCTGTAAACTTTTTTATCACTTTTTAACATTTCTACAATTTTAATAAAAGAAATCTTTTTTTATCCTTCTATCAATATTATTTTTACGTTTATTAATCTTTACGATATTATTTTTCGTCACTTGGCCTCTGCTATATAGACAGTCGAATTACGAATACAGTATTGTACGAGATAATTATGATGCGAACGTCGCTTCATCGAACATAGCAGTTAAATTTTATTGTGTAATGTAAAATATTGGTGGAAGGAAATCATACTTAAACATGTTTTATAGTAATAACACTTAAAAAATTGTTAAATTATTAGGTGTTGGAATTAATTCGTAGCGTTTTTAATGAAAGAATGTTATTTATTTCACATGAGCATTAAAAAATACATTAATGAAAGTACTTCCCATCACTTGTAAAACGCTACGAATTAATTCCAACACCTAATATATTATATTATCACTTTAAATTAGTGCACGATAAGCAACGCTGGACGACATAATCGTAGTATCGAAAGGGTTAAATATGAATGTAATTATAAATACCTGGATACCTAAATCTTTTTATATTAATTATACATTTTATAATTGCAGATGCGGCAATGTAGCTGCAATATTAGAACTAAATGAACATCTACAGAGAGACTTTACGATATTTGAAGCGGCACCACAGGAAAGCCGCGGAATACCCAGCAAGAAGCCACAAGCAGATTATTTTTTATAAACGCTGTTGTAAAGTATAAAAGAAACCATCAGAATTAAGTCAAAATTGATTTGAAGAATTTGCTTTTTCTTCTCTCTCTCTCTCTCTCTCTCTCTCTCTCTCTCTCTCTCTCTCTCTCTTACACACACGCGCGCGCGCAGAGAGAGAGGAGGGGAGGGAGGGGTCAGTTTACATTAATTGTGAAGAGCAACTAAAATGAGTGAATTAAAGAAAATTTTCTATTATTTTTGATGATATAATTTCTATGATTACGTTGGACCATTTACATTTGGAACTGCGACAGTATGTGTGACTGTAAAATAAAATAAATGCCTCAGGTTTAAGTCGATATGACATCATTATCTTTCACAACTTAAGTTTCCAAAAATATTCAATATATGTAAAGATATTTAAATAAAAGCAAATTAAACCTTTTTTATGCTTAATGGAAACAAGTTCCATAAGTAATCTTTTAGAATCCCAATAGATTTTCCTTTATCCCCCATAGTAGTTGACGTAAAGTGTTTTGCTTGACACATCTTAATGACAAACGTAATAAATTAATTCACATATTTTTAGTGTTAATAATTTATACCTTTTATATATTCTTTGTTATCACAATAATCTCATCATGATCTTAAAAGAAAGAAATCATTTATTAGAGTTGGTAGATAATTCTTAGACAATTCCAGAAATAGAGAAAACCCGGTGTAAGAATATTCTAGTATCTGGATGGAAAAACAAAAGAAATGAAGTTTCTACGATGACCGACTCTAGATTATTGAATACTTTATTGTATAATTTTTTATACAAGATTCGAACCAACAGATATTCAGCAAATAATTTCGAATGCGATTTATGATAGAAGACTTATAACACCACATTTTTTCTTTCTTCGTCAATACCGGAATTTAAACAGATGTTGTGTCTATGACCAGTCACATGCACTTTTTATTTCAAGTACTGTCGATATCAAAAACTGATACCTGAATGTTTATTTGTCTCAGCATATACAAGTCTCTTTAGTACATTACTCAAGTATTATCGCGATACAATTGTCACATTCACGTATAATTACACACTCGAGTAAAATGTCTGTGTATTGATACACTTTAGCCGATCCCAACAACGCCTGAGGATTATCGTCCTGAGTCACTAGACTCCGGTGCGGACATGCAACGAATGTCTGAGGCCGTTGCCTTAATATTGCGTTTAGCTCGAGAGAATCTCTAAGACTACGAGGAGAACAGTAGTTCACCGTGGCACGATTAAAACCAAGAATGCCAAGAAATCATCCCTTCCCGATTACCACACATGTTCGTCGTCATCGTCGAAATCGTCCGAAATCGTCCGAAGAGTCCGTTTTCCGCCGATCTATGGATCGGATCAAAAAAAAAAAGCCGCGGTATCGATGTCGCCGAGATGTCGCGTGTATTGTCTCCGTGCAAATAAACCGGGAAGAAAGACGTCGCGGCTCGAGATCAAGAATACTAACAGAAAGTATCTTTGTTTTATGCCGCCTGCTTCTGAATTTATACCACGCTCTTCTGTTCTCTCTCTCGTATTATATGTAATATTTTAAGATTCGTCCACTTAACGCTTAATTTTGTCGACCATTTGAGCTCATATACGGAACAACAGATTTATCACATACGCGAAGCCGTGCTGTGAAGGACCGTTCTGAGCTCTGAATGCTCTGAAAATCTTGCTCCGATTCTACGCATCTATGTTCCGATTTTATTGCGTGATTACTCCGAGAGATAACTTTACCGCATAGCGAAGAGCGAAAGACAAAGGCTCCTGTGCACAGGGGAGAAAATATTAGAAATAGGAATAAAGTTAAGAGTTCAACCTATTAGAAATTAGATTATTAGAAACCGTGTATTTCGGTGTAATTGATATTTGGTAGGTTGAAATCTTAGGCCCGTATTCAGAACACGCTAACTATAAACAATTGATGACAACAGAGAAAAATATCAGGGCACTTCTCGTCCCGATCCCAGGCCGAATTGGTAGACTTTCGCTCTGTCACTGAGCCACACAGCCGTGATGCTGTTGGTATCTCTGTTATGTGTATATCTAATAAATTTCTTACACAGCGATGTAGCGCGCTAACATGCTGTAATTTACGCATACTATAGAATTTTAGAGATAAAAGTACGCTTTTATTGATAAAAGTGCGTTTTGAATACAGACCTTAATATTTATTCCTGTTCCAAATATTTGTTCTATTGTATGCAGGCTCAAAATTTTTCCTATAAAGACATGCGCCTATATAGATCCTTTGACTATAATCCCGGGGATGTACAATAAATTTTTAAGCCTTAAGCCATAAGGAATGGACGAATTACAATTAATCGTTCTCCTTGCATTTGACCGTAGTTGGTCAAATGCGTAATTTCTTACGGCTTAAGGGGATGCTGGAGTGTCCTGTTTTATCATTAAAGACTCTTATTATTAAAGACTCTTTTCTCTTAATTGTGTTTATGGATTGAAAAATCCTTCTCCACAATTAAAGTATCGATAACAACGCAATTCGTCAGCTACATTTGAAAAGTAGCTAGCGTATTGTAGAAAACCTAAACGAACAATTCCATGCTTTTAGAAACGCGGTAGGAGTTTTAGTTTAAGAGAAAGGTGCATCCGAAAATTTCGTTTGTATTGTATATTGGGTCATCTAAAAAGTATCCGCGGTTTTTTGTCACTAGATGTGTGTTGATGGTCATATATCTAGTGAAAGTACCGCGGATACTTTTTAGATGACCCAATATTACGAGTGAAATTGACGTGAAGCCATGAAACTGAGCAATATTTTAGTTTCGCGATATTCCGACAGCGGCGCTGCCATGAAAAGTGTGTCGCTGAACCATAGAAATGATCTGAATTATCGACCTATTCAGGATCATATCAATAAACGTGCCCTGGCCAAAGTTTTTTCTTTTGAGAGGAAAAATAATAATAAAATAAATATGATATTAATTATTTCAATTTTGTTGAAATAATTTCTTCCTAAAGAAACGTATCATATTATTTACATATGAATACAAATGAAGATAATTATTTTAATTGCACTGTTCTGTCTTTTACATACATTTTATTTAGTAAATTATTGATGCATATGTATTTTTTTTATATATAACATATATATATATATAATATATATAACATATATATATATATATGTTATATATATATATATGTATGTATATATAATAGACTTATACATGACATACATACACATGCGTGTGCGTGCGTGCGTGCGTGCGTGCGTGCGTGCCGAACCTCGATCAATGAAGCGGCGTAAAGTGGCTAGGAAAGCCGTCGTAGATAACTCACTTGCCTCGAGATAAATGGCTTTGATGGCAAAGCATATGTGCTATGTAAGATTTGCATGTTTTCCGACCTCGTCCTTTGTTGACAAGTAGTAATTGGGCCAGTAAAATCGTCCCCAGTGACGGCGAATCCTCTAAATGGCTGCACTCTATCGCTGGGAAGGGATTCCATCGCTCGGATTAATTCTCTTGGGTTATGTTTAGCACACCAGACACGGCAAACCTGACGCACCAAATTTCTTGCGTTTAGCGGCCAGTATTGCTGGCGTATTGATGCCAACAACAATTGTGGATTAGCAATAGAGCGCGATGTTCTCTTTCGATCAGCAAACGTGTGATCCTGCATTGTGCGGGCAGTAAGATAGGATGTTTTCTTTTGAAACTCCAAGGCGCCGCCTGAAGTCGTCCGCCCACCCTGTCTAGAAATGGGTATAGCTGAAGTAATAGACTAATTCTGCTTAATTCTCGTTTGTTTTGAAGGCATTTTAGCTCTTCTGAAGTAGACACGTTCTGAATGCTTAAGTACCTACGTGTCTTGATAACTCCAACTTAGGTAGAGTCAATTTAGATAGTTCTCTGTCTTCATGTCCTTTGCGGCAATTATGAAGAAATCTAATGCAATAGACAAGTATCCGCCCAATCCTTGTAAACGTTGAGCAGTTCGTGATGAATGTGTTGATTATCTCGTTGGAAATCAATTGAGGTACGATGAGATTGCAAACTGCAATGAGTTGCTTGGCTTCAATCTCAGCACTGCGGCATCCTCGGCAAATTTCAAATCGAGATTTCCTTCGCTTGTGACGGGACGAATATATGACAACCATTTAGGGCCATTCCACCATAAGGAATTATCCTTCAGCAGGTGAAACTCCTCTTGAGATCAGATCTGCAGGATTCTCCGAATCTCTTACATGGTTCCAATGAATAGCAGACAGTATTTCGCTAATTTCCGACACATAGTTGGATACAAAAAATTTCCAACGCTCTACGTCACCGCGAAGCCAGTACAACACGACCATGGAATCAGACCATACCCGTATTTCATCGATTTCAATGTGAATGGCGTGTTTAGATATTAACAACGCGCTACATAGTTCTAACCTAGGTATGGATTGTTTCTTTAAAGGGACTACCCTCGCTTTCGCGCATAATAACCTAACCATTGTTTTTCCGCTGGATTCGCTTACCGATCGTATGTAGATACATGCGGCATATGCTTTCTCGGACGTGTCGCAAAATCCAAACATGAAATATCGACAATTCTTTGACACACCTACAACTAATCGAGGAACATATAACTCGTGAGTATTATTTAAGGAATCTCGGAATTCCTTCCACTTGTCTAGCCGAATTCGGAAGTGGAATCCTGGTCCCGGTCTGTCTTGATTTCCTAAAGACTTTGCATCAGGATTTTAGCTACCGTTAAAATGGGGCCTATCAAACCCAAAGGATAGTTTACCAATTGCGGAGCATCTCGCGCTTTGTGGACGCATGACCTATTGTATTTGTAGTAAATTGAAGTCTGTCCGAATTTGGATTCCC